CTATATTTTCAGAAGAAATAATGAATTTAGATAGAAAATAAGCCTTTGCAGTTGGAAGGTTGCGCAACGGTATCTTTAGTGATTGTGACTGCAACCCCTACCTTCTGATTTCCAATTCCTTGGACTGGAAGGGTTCCTTTACACATTGCACCCAGGGTGAAGATCCATATTCGGGGCTCATCGTGTCTTGTGATGAAGCTAGCCCTTTTGTTATTGTTCCTGGGTTAATGGAACCATTGTTTTCCTTCCTTGTTCTTTTCCTTGAAATTCCTCGTTTTCCTCGCCCCCTTCCTCCCCCTACCCCCCTTCCCCTTCCTCCCCCTTTCTACCTCCTCCACCCTTTTCTCCCCCTTCCTTCTTGCTCCTTCCTTCCCCCTCCCCCTCCTTCGCTCTCCTCAACTCCTGTGATCTCCTTTGAGAGGAACCTGCCTGGAAAACTATGGTCCATTTGTTCCCAGTTTGATATTGAGAGGCTGATGACATCCTTCGATGTCTAAAGGTCATTATAGTTCCAATTCCGGGTGTCAGAGCCAGCTTTGTGCTTCAACTCCCCATCGTTTCCTGTACTTGCTCCTCCATTTGCTCATGATGGAACAACGGATTTAGAATCATCTCTCCCTACTGTGTTTCCTGAGTCTGGGTCGAGGCTCCTTGTTCTGGTGCCTGCATTGTGTTCACCATCTGTCCTTTTTGTTCCTTTTGCTCTTTCGCAGTTAGGAATTCTCCTTCCATCATTGATAATTCCGGCACATTTTCGTTTAATTCCTTATTCTGTTTTTGTCTTGCAGCCAAGACTGTCTTAATGGGAGTGTGTAGATGTCGTGCCGCGACTTGACGCATTGCTCCTTTGAACATAAGAGTTGATTCTTTTAGTCTGTAACTGCGCTGGTGATGAATGATGCGTGGTATTTTCTGCTTTTTTTATTTTAATTTATATTAAGTGCAATTAGGGGATGGATTGGGAGAAAAAGGAGTTGGGAAAGGATAGGCACCAGAGGCTGGGGTGGTGACAAATAACCTGATCAAATCCTTCCTTTCTGGCACACCCCTTCCTACTTCCCTATCCTCCCTCTTATCCTCTTCTCCTCTTTTTCTTTTCCATACGTAAATTATGTGCACCCGTCTCCCACACCCCCCTCGCTTACTCTTTCTCCCCCTTTCTCTCCTACCCTTCTCTCCCCCTCTCACTCTCTTCCCCTGCTTCTCTCCCTCTCACCCACCTACCCTCCCCCCTCCTCTCTCTCTCACTCCCTCCCTATCCCCTCTCTCTTCTTATCTCACTCTCTATTTCGTCACTCTTCGGCAGGTGTGCACAACTGAAGAAGCTTCAAAGTAGAATCAATATATCTTTGAGATGTTTAACCCGTATGTAAGTTTGTTTTTCTAGGATGCGCGTCCGCCTTGGTCGCCACGTCTTCCCCTTTCGCGCCTATTGACGCCCCCCTCCTTTTCCACCCTGCCACGTGGAGGTTGAATCCACGTGGATACTCTACTCTTTCTTTTATGAATCCACAACCAATCGTGCCGCTGCGTTGGATGTAGTACGAATTAGTCCTTTTGTCGCCGATCCCACACAAATCCTTCTTGGACTCATAAAGTCGACCCCGCTCACAGTTTTCAAGCAATGGACACTCATACACTCGTTACTTTTCCTTTTCCTTCAATCGTTTCACTTCGTTAGAAATGTTTTCCAGGCGCTTCACACTTTCCCCATTTTGAAGCCGATTTCGTGCATTTCCTTTTTCTTTCCTTTACATTTGATCTGCTTCAATCCTTCTCACTTTTAATCTTGTTTTTTGACGATGCTGGTCTCGCCCTCTTTCAGTGCAAACCAAACCTCTCACCCGTCACTCTTGATCGCGTCACTGTGTTGGCCGCTCTTTCTTCAGAGAGACAACTAGCCCAATGCGACACCCCTAGTCCACTGTCGCGTTGTGTTTTGGTTAGTATATTCAGCTTTACCCTTCTCATGTGTCGTTCACACTGATCAGCATGGCTTCAAACCACACACAATCTCCTTTCGTTTCCTTTCTCATGTGCCGGACCTCCCCAACCCTTCTTCCTCCTCCATCGCCCACGTCCATCCTCCATAGCCGGACCTCCCCAACCCCTCTCCTTCCTCCATCACCCACACTCGTCCGCCATAGCCGGACCTCCCCAACCCTTCTCCTTCCTCCATCACCCACACCCGTGCGCCATAGCCGGACCTCCCCAACTCTTCTTCCTCCTCCATCACCCACGTCCATCCTCCATAGCCGGACCTCCCCAACCCTTCTCCTTCCGCCATCACCCACACCCGTCCACCATAGCCGATCACCTCCAACCCTTCTTCCTCCTCCATCACCCACAACGGTCCACCATAGCCGACCGCCCTCAACCCTCCTTCCTCCCTCATCACCTACGCCCATCCACCCGAGAGTCTTAAAGGGGGGGGGAGAGCCGCAAGGGGGATGCACGGGACCTCGGGTAGGATCGGTTGGGGTAAGTCAAGGAGCAAAGTCGATTAGGATGTGAAGTTTTTTGTTCTCTCTCTCTCTCTCTCTCTCTCTCTCTCTCTCTCTCTCTCTCTCTCTCTCTCTCTCTCTCTCTCTCTCTCTCTCTCCCCCTCTCTCCCCCTCTCCCTCCGTCTTCCTCCATCCCTTCAAACTCCTTTGGCCCTTAACCCTTCCTTCGCCGCTTCCCCTCCATGGCATGTGACTAACCTCTACCCTCCCCTGTTACATTGCCAGGGAACGAACGGGAAGGAACTTGGTCCTCACTTGATGGAAAGCGAGCGCAAGGGAAGGGCAGCCGGTCCCTTATGCCACCAAGAAGGAAAGGATACGAGGCTATTGGGAACATTTGTGAAAACGAAAAGGAGNTCTCTCTCTCTCTCTCTCTCTCTCTCTCTCTCTCTCTCTCTCTCTCTCTCTCCTCTCCCTCTCCCTCCGTCTTCCCCCATTCCTTCAAACTCCTTTAGCCCTTAACTCTTCCGTCACCTCTTCCCCTCCATGGCATGTGACTAACCTTTACCCTCACCTGTTACATTGCCAGGGAACGAACGGGAAGGAACTTGGTCCTCACTTGGTGGAAAGCGAGGGCAAGGGAAGGGCAGCCGGTCCCTTGTGCCACCAAGAAGGAAAGGATACGAGGCTATTTGGGAACATTTGTGAAAACGAAAAGGAGTGTTGTTTTTGGACGAGGTCAGTTTGACTCAACCATCTCCCCGACTGCATGACTAAGGTGGCTGCATGGTTTGCTTGAGGGAAGGAAGGGGCAAAAACAAGGGATCATGGAAGGGCAAAGGAAACCTAGGCTTGCGGGAAGGGCCGATGTGTTGACCCCAATGAGGATTGTGCTTGGTCATATGTATTGTGTGGTCTTGCGCAGGTAAGTAGCTAGGGACGATTTGGACGGGGATGGACCCACAGATGAGGACTAGGGTGGGAGATTGGCAAAAGGAAGGGATTTGGATCCGACTTAAGCTATGGATGCGGGATGAGTTGAGGCCGGCTGCTCGGGTCGATGGTTGATGCATGGACTTGGGTTGAGCGGAGGTTGTATGGAATGTTTCTCTCTTATGTGCAATGCGACCCCTGAAAAGACTAAGGGCGGTCTCGGATAGGTGATGCGATGCTAGTGGCTCGCGCAAAAAAAATATATATAGCGGCTAGGGGTCCGGGCGACGCCGCCTCACCCCAAGGATGCCGCCGGGGCTGTCCCGAGCCACTAGACTTAGTGAAAGGGTGCATGGCCCAATGGATGACGCTTGGCCTGCGCACGGAAAGAAGACAAAATCTCAACGAACCCCCTGGATTGCCTGAGTATTGGAAAGAGCAATTGCCTGGTCAGACTCAAATGGATCGAGGAAAACGCCGCGAGTGACCAAAGAGCTACCATCTTGACGAGAGAGCGGAGCTACATCCCCCAAGGTAAAGCCCTCACGCAAAAGGCCCATCCTCATCCCTCGCGTAGCACTAGGTGGGGGTGCCCCTGGGACGAACGACCCGCGCCCTGAGCGTGAGCGTGGGCGGGTCGAGCCAAGTGGGACCTGCAGTGGGGTCGACCGAGGCTCGATAGTCCTTGAGGGTACGGCCCCTACAAAAATGGTGGAGGTGCCGGGTATTGGGTTAAACTGACCCATACGGTCTCGAGGGGGGGCGCGTGACGCATGACCGAGAACACAAACATAAAGATAAGGAATATGGACTTGTGTATGCTCTATCCTTTGAGAGAATCAGATTTGAGGGTGGCTGGGCGCATGGCAAGGCCAGGCCTGTAGGAAGAACATGCATGCTTGCACTTTTGCTCAGCCATCTCCATTGGAGGTGACTCTAGTCCTCCTTCCCTTGGACTGATGTTTGTCAGGCCAGGGAAGCCTTGGGCAAGCCGCAGGTCGACCCTTCCTCTTCGTGCGAAAGAAGGGCTCCGGTTACCTGGCAGGCGGTTGGGATTCCGGGCTAGTCCGGGTGCCAATGAAAATCCCGCGGCGGAGCGATCCGACCGACCTGGGTACCTTCTCTCCTCTTCGGAGCCCAGCGGGCTCCGTGCACCACACTAAATGCTTGAAGGAACCTCATATGAACACAAACGGTAATCGAGAAGGAACAATCCTGCCCTATGAACGGACACACAAGCAAAGATAAGGGAAAGAAGGGAGTTGCTAGACTCCAAGAAAACTAGCTCACCTTTGAAGATGCTCACGAAAAAGAACCAGGCACTATGTATGAAATTTAGGGATGAATGACACACACTGTCCTGAGTGAAAACCTGTGAGCAATGGGTAGGAAGCGCCGGGTGCACCAGGGGGAAAGGCACTTGTGTTATGTGTGTCCCATTTGGGACTTGTGATTGCATGACTGGGATTTCGAGCGTCCTGCCATTTGGAAGGAAAGGATTGGTTTACGCCGGCCGGTGCGGTTTGTCCCATTTGAAAGGATCGGACTGATGGAAGTGAATGCCTGGACGGCTGGCTCTAATGGCCCTACCGAGATGTGCGGGGTGATTCCCGAGATTAACGGTGGGTACACGAGTGGCAAGTCGGGATGGGGTATTCTGGGTAAGGAGGAAAGGGCGAATGCCTTGCCAAGACCTGGGTACCGCGCTCACGATGGTTGAGTTGTACTTGAGGTATGGGGTAAAGCCCTGCAAATAGTAACAGTGGAGAGACCATTTCCGGGGAAGAGGTCGGTGAGGAGATGACTGACCTGTGTGCGACGTTTGCCTGAGTTTTGCCTTTTGTGCCTCCCTCTGTAAAGTTTGCCTGATGAATGTTGGATGGGGATCGGGCCCCTAGTCTATTCTCAACCTCCGCCTAAGTCAGCACGAGTGAGAGAACATGAGGAAGAGGATGGATAGGAGTCAGAAGAAGATGAAACCAAGAAGAAGGAATGCGGGTCACTGGCGATCGATTGGGGGTACGGTGGGACAATGGCACTTGGGAATTGGATAAGAAAGGATAGGGAGACCCGGATGAGGGGTCTGAAAACAACTCTCATCTGGGAAAGGAAAAAGCAAACCATCTGACCATAAGGGGGCCGTGTGGTGCTCTCATGTGGAAAACAGGGTAAGCGCCGGGAAAACAAGATGGCACGATGGTTGTCACCTCCTGTCTACTCTAGTGGTCCGGAAATGCCTATAGAGGTAAGGGATGGGGTGTTTGTTGTTCTCCCGGAAGAAGGGACATGGACCGACCTAGAACCAGCCTATGAAACCATGATGCTGGATAAGAAGGACGCGTTCCTCTGGATAGAGACAATCTGGACCAAGGTCAGCCTGACAAGACTCTCACCCAGCTTGATGGACCTCGAATTCCGGGGAACGGTGGAGGCCCGAGGGTGGATCTACCTGTCTCAAGAAATGGAAAACGCAATGGTAGTGGGACTAGTATTGGGCACGGTACCGGATCAGCTGTTTAGGCAAGCGGAACGGGGGGTGGTGTGGGCTGCATGTCAGCGGGCAGAAATGGAGATGGAGAGGATGGAGGTGTGAGTGGAACTCGGGGACCGGAATAATATGAGACGCCCCCTCAGGACAATGAGATGCGTGCTACCCCCGTTTCTGGTGGATGCAGTCTTTGGGACCAGGGGTAGATTGGAGTGGATATGTCGGTCGATGACGTGCCTGAGGTTGTACCAAGGTGCTAGGCAGGACTTCTTTAAATTGTCGGTGGAAGCAGGGTCGTTCGAAGGAAACTGGGGGGAAGAATTGGCTGAGGTGTTAAACCTCCTCAGTGTGGACGAAATCTTTGTTCCCAGCTCAGTGCATTGGCAGATAGTTTACCGAAACGTGGCAGCAGGGGAAACCTTCTTGGAAGGGGTGAAAAAGATGTTCCTAGACGAGGAGGAGGATTCCAGTGATGAGGAGGACGGGGACGAGATAGATGATAGGGACTTCTGAGGGGGGGCTTACCTGGGGAAAACGGGTTGTCGACTATGTGCAGGTAGGGAACGATGGCCCGGAAACTCGAATTATGGGACTGCACATGGGAACCAAGACGAACCGGAAGGGGAGTAGAGATGTCAATACCGCCGAGCAATGAATGGAAAGGGACCACATGTGATTGGCGGGGGKATGAGATTGTGTCGGAGCTATCGTACCTTTGGATAGAGCGTATCTGGAATCCGTTGAGGGAAGAGGAAGAATGGGAAGAGATTGCGGAAGGAAGGGTGGAATCAGTTGGGACGATTATTCTCTCGGAACAGGGTTGGCACCTGTTCTGCACGACGCTCGCGGCAGGGCAGAACCCGATGTGGCTTTTAGGGGACGCTGAGGCAAGGGCTCGGCAGGCGGGGGAAAGTTTTGCTACCAAAGGATGGGATACGGTCAGCAGTAGAGTCGTGATGGGAGGATGGAAGGAATTTAAACCGCCCAGCGCCCGAATCAAGACCTGGGTACCCGAGTTCGTGGCAGACTGGTTTGGGGGTTTTGATCATGTAACAGAGGTAGCCGACACGATGGAGCGAATACACGTGAATTGCACATGGCTGGCAGGGGAATTCTATAGGACGTCCTTGAAATACGGGCCCTTCCACGGCGATAGAGCCCGGGAGGTCCTTATCATTTTGGATATCGAAAGGAATGACCGGCAGGAGGTGGCCCCGGAAACTAGGGAGGCCATAATCCGTCGTGAGGTAGCAGCAACACCTTGCTATATGGATGATGTGTTCAAACTGTTCGAAGTACTGTGGTTCGACTAAGCGCAGGGAAGCTGTGGAGCCAGACAAATACGGCAAAAATTGCTAAGATAAGGGAACGGGATGTCTGGCCATTGTAGGGTTCCGCGCGGATCGCGAGCCGGGAGACCAAAGGCGAGTGCACGATGGCACAAAGAAGGACGTTTCTTGAGGAGCGCCCCTTGGGCATTGAACCGCCTAGGGAAGTACCGGGTGGGATAGAGGTTAGCTTATCGGCAACAGGCGAGGGATGGCACCAGGTGGCGGATTGGGTCGGGATCGAGCTTGCGGAGAATATGGTTTATTTGGTGACGAGAGTTGAGTGGCGTGCGGCTGAGAATGGGGAATGGAACCCGGACCCACGGGGGCACGTGCGCGCAGAGGGGTGGTTGTATATGGGGGTCAAAAACAGATGGAGGGAGTTCGGAGTTCGGCTGGCATCAGGAGAAGACCCGTTGTGCATGTTTGAAGGGGCATGGCAGTTAGTATGGCAAGCGGGACTTGAGTTCGCAGATCCGGGGGTTGACGATGTAACAGCGGACCTTAGAGTAGCCATGGTCGGGAGTTTTGAATTGCCTAGTGAAAATGTCCGAATGAGGCTGCCGCCTTCTTGCTGGAAAAACTGGGCGGTTTGGAACTTGTTAGACAAGCAGTAGCCGACCTCGCAAGCCTGACATATGAAGAGGCGATGGTACATCGAGAATACTATCGGGCCTTCTTAGAAATGGGGCCGTTCAGTGGAGAGCAGAAGTACGAGGTGCTGCGCACCCTGCGTGCTGTGTTTAGTACCAGGTTGAGGGTTCCGGTCGTGGGAAGTGAGGTCCTGTGGGGCGTCGTTCGACGGGAGATAAACCAAGGAATGGCGTACGTAGATGATCTGTACAGATTATATGAGCAGACGGAGGAGGGGATAGGTCGGTAATAGGGCCAAGGAGAGGGGAAAGAAATAGAAGGGGAAAAGAAGTGTCAGGCCAGGAATCGGGAAGTTGTCCAGGCAGAAAATTGAAGACCAAGGGGAATAAGTAAATTTGCGTGCTGTTTAAAACTGTGCAGGAGACTTCTAAGTCGGAAATGACAATGAGACGCGCCCAGATGCCGCGGCGATCCATGCACCTGCGACCACCCACGGAAAACGGAGGTGGATGGGAGGTGTCGCTCCCAGCAGGCTACGCGATTCAAGGATTGGATGCCGAATGGAGAGCCGTGACCGTGGGAGGAGGACAAGCGTTCATGATGATGGAATGTTTGTGGGATGGTATAAGGATTAACAGGGGACCGGGAGACGACCTGTAAACGGATCTTAGGGTGACGGGGACTGTATACCTGCCAGAGCTCGGATGACACATGTTGGGGACAAAATTGACACTAGGGCATGGGTTGTTGCCAATCTTCCAAAGGGCTACTAGGGTACTAAACCGGGTAGGCCAGGAAGTGCGAGGGAGAAGAAATGTGGGGTTAAGGACTCGGGTGGAGGTAGGAGGTTGGTAAGAGTTTAAGGCCCCAATGACCGGGCTGAGGTGCCGAGTACCTCGCTTCATGGTAGACCTGGTATTTGGCAGCCTCAAGAGGGCGAGTTGGTGGACTCGACCCTGGTCTGGATCCACCTCTTCCGACCACAAACAACGGGCATGTTCTACGATGTGTCAGTCAGACATAGGCCGTTCTGGGGGAATCAGGCTTGGGAGCTACTCGAATTACTCGAGATTCTGATATTCGGATTGCCCCACCTGTCATTTGAAGAATATGAGCCAATAATTATCAAGGAAATAGAAATGGGGGAAAATTACCTTGCGGGGGTGGCGGACTTGTTCGAGGAACCGGATGAGCAGGGCAGGCCTGAGGGACCAGCATGAGAAAAACGTGTTAGGGAGAAGTAGGGAAATAAAGAATGGGTACTAAGATAAGTAGGCAGCCATTAGCAAAAGAGAGGCAGTGGTTGGAGTTCCGGTCGACCCAATGATGCGGCAGAGAGGAACTAGGAAGACCACCCGCTCCAAAGATTCTGGGGCACCTGGATGCCAATAAGTCGAAAAGGCCATCCCCGATAGGAAAGCCACTGGGCTCAGGTACCGCCCTCAGAATCAAAGCGCGGCAGTAATGAAATGCCAAAGCGGCGGCGGCAAGGCTCCGGTAGAAGAAAACCTGAAGGACGCCCCAGGAGAGAAAAGTCAGAAGAGTCGTATTGATTAATGTAAGACGCAACATATGGGAATAGGCGGGTTTTAGGGACGGGACTAGGGCAGTTATGAACAATCGGCCGCCTTTTCGCAAAAAAAAAATTCCATGTGCAGGCTAGGTAAAAAAATGGCGACGGAGGAAGGGATCGATGACCAGCAGAGCGGAGGGAATCAGGGCACGAATGGGAATGGGGAACGAAACGAGGGATCAACCAGGGATCGAGAGTCAGCCAAACTGGAGGGGACCCGAGAAGACGGAAAGGACGCCTTAATTGGAGAAAGCTCGGGGAAAGCTGGGGGTAGCAAAAGGGGACCTTAGGAAAACAGGGAAGGGGGAAACGATATGAGAACAAGTCCTCGGAACTCAGCAGGAGCCACCCCTAAAAAGACGAAAGTCTTGGATACCAATCATAAATGGGCAGAGATAGAGAAGCGGACCGCGGAATTTAAGGCAAGACTTATCGAGCAGATGATGGCCTGGGATGAGGAGGACCTCCAGGATGCAGGGTCACGTGAGGGACACAGGGCCGGTCAGGACGAGGCTAGGTATGAGGGGAAGGATGATAGTCACAAAGGAACGCCTAGCAAGAAGGGGAAGGACAAGAGCGACCCCCCGGCGGAAGGAACGGAAAACGCTATGACCCCACCCGCCATTGACAGCTGCACTAACAGACTACCCGCCATGCCAAAAGTAACAGGGGCGTGTGACAGACTCTCGAGCCTTAGGGAGAGAGTGCTAGGATAGTTCGACCCAGAAGGAACACCGAAAACCAGGGAGAAGCAGAGGGAAAGCAAGGAAGGGGAAGGAGCCAGTGCAGTCGGGGAAGCGGGTGGCCCCGAAGACGGTCTCAAGAAAGTAGTCGCCACCCTCAACAGGACACTGAACAAGAACCAGGGGTATCTCGCCGATGCAAAAAAGAAACTCACGTTCGATGGGGCCAACATTACGGAGTTTCTAATAGACTATGAGAACCTAGCAGCCTTACTGAAATGGACGGAAGAGGAAAAGATGGAGCACCTAGGACAGCACGTATCGCTAAGTTTGGGAAGGGACATTATGGCCATCGCCGCCTCCAGTGGATCCTGGAAAGAGACCAGGAATGAGATGATGAGGAAATACCTGAAGGCAGAAAAAATGGCAACAGAGGCAGAATTAGCCGCAGTCCAAAGGAAAAACTATGTGACCTACAACGATTTCCTGAGGGCGGTTACGTTAGTGGCTCTGCGAATTCCCGGGGTAACGGACCGCATAATGAGTAAATACTTCCTCAGGCAGTTCTCCGAGTTTGATAAGGATAAGATCTTGTCGGCATACCAGCACACCAGTAAGTTCGAATACACAAGAGATGTGGATTTCAGCACCGTAACAGACCTGGCGGAAAAGACAGTGGTTACCGAGATGCTAGCCCTACTTAAGGAAGGGAAGGTCATAAATCTGACCGGGAAGACAGGGGATAAGTTCAAAAAGGGGATAGAGAGCCTGCACGAACGGGTGCACGGGGTTGATAGCAAGATGGACAGAATGGAAAATGCACTGTTAGTAATGCAGGCGCAAGTGTCCAGACCCGCCCTCCCGCCCCAAGAGGCCGTGGTTCCGGCAGCTGTAGCAAACCGGGGGTTTGGCAGGAGGGACCCGGCCAACGAACAATGCAAGTATTGCATCATGATCGGGCATTTTGTACGGGCCTGTCCGAGACTCAATCATGATATCGAGCGGCAGAGGTGCAGTAGGTCCCTCAAAGGCGAGATCCTCGGACCCAGGGGGGAGTGTGTCAATTGAAACTCGCCAGGAGGGATGCGGCGAGCCGTCATCCTCCTAAATAACTTAGAGATAGCTKTCGTAGAAGCAGAGCCGATAGACGAGATTGTSTGGGACCAGCAAAGGGGACGGGGACCACAGGCCAATTTTATCCTAGAAGGCAATGACCAGGATAGGGTAAATATTACCACTCGCCGGGCCGGCGCAGAAAAGAAACTTATTCAAGATACAGTAATGGAAGAACTCGCAGGGACTAGCACGGGCCAGCAAGAGACCGAAGTCGGGGAWCAAGAGAAGGTCTATGGGAAGCCAAGGGAGGACGAACCGGTAGACAAGGCTACGGCGGCAAAAAAGAAGTTCAGGTATCAAATTCTGATCCTGACTTCGCCAGAAATCGATGGCACCTTGAGTAAGCTACTGGGTACCATGGTATCGGTGTCCTTTCAGACCATGCTGCAAGCCAGCCCGAGGTTGCTTAAAGGACTCAGGCGGTTGCTAACGCGTAAGCGTGTAGAGGTAGAGGAGGCCCCGGAACTGCAAGAGCAGGACACGGAAGAGGCCGAGGCGCCGCAAGGAGTCTCCAACCTCCAAAGCATCTTAGGGGGCTTGGGAGATTTGAAGAAAGCTTTTGCAGATATCAACCTAAGCCTACCGGATTGTGAAGGTGGCGAAGTCATGAGGGCGCCACCCGGGACAAAGCTTAGCTTTCATGCATTACCAGTTGGAAAACTTAGAATTCAAATCGGAACTCACCACACTGACGCGTTAGTGGACGGCGGAGCAGAAATCACCCTCATACGACGAGATTTCGCAACGGTTACGGGGTGCACGGTAAACAAGGAAGTAGCAGGGAGTATCCGGGGAGCCGGTGGCAAAATTCCTTTCACAGGGTATGTCACCAAATGTACAGTCAGGGCAGGAATCCGGGAATCCATCTGGTCCTTTCAGCGGATGACCGTGATGGAAGAAATGGATCACGACGTAATCCTCGGAAGACCATGGTGCACCAGTGTAGAAATGATTGGCATGCACTTGCATGACGACACGTACATGGTAGACGTAGAGGATCCGGTGACTAGTCGTGGGGAACTCCTCCGACTCCTCGGAACTGGAGGGGACCCTCCGAAGGGCAAATTGGCAACCTGGTCGCCAACATTCGAAGAAAGTGCACGGAAAGGGGCATTCGCGCGAATGGAAGGTATGAGGGAAAGGGTAGAAATTATGATCGAGGAGGCTTTTAGTAAAAAGGAATGGATCAAGATGGGCTTGGGCCAATTCCGACCGTTCATTTTTTAGGAAACGATCCCAGAAGGCAGTGTGTGAAAATACAAACCCGTAGGGAAGAAGGCCAAGCCGGTCTCGATCCTAATAGAAACATCAAAGGAAGAGGTCATGGAAAAAGAGGAGAGATCCTACGGGTTATAAGGGAGAGACGCGCAACGGAAGGGCATCTCATACCAGACGAGGTAGCAGATACCATGAAAATAGAAGTGGAAGGGTTTCTAACGGCGGAAGAAACTCAGATGATAAGAAAGGCATGTCAGGAGTTTCATTTAGCGTCCGCTTTCAACGATCATCAAAAAGGGCTATTGGACGCAAAGCTAGTTCCCCCTGTCAGGATCCAGATCATACAGCACGAGTGTTGGAATGACAAAGGGTCCGCCTATGAGTTTGGGATAGCAGCGGAAGTCACCGACCTGCTTAGAGCTAAGATAGACTCTTTCGTGGCTGAACCCACCGCATCCCCTACGCGAACAAGTGGTTCGTGTTCAGGAAGCCCAATAAGACGCTCAGGTGGATCCAGGACCTGCAGAAGCTCAATGCGGTAACAATTAGGGATGCAGGCTCGCCGCCACAGACCGACTTGTTGGCAGAATCTCATGCGGGGCGGAGTATTTACTCCCTGGTAGACTTGTACTCAGGATATAATCAGTTGTCGCTCGATGCGACGGATAGACCGTACACCGCAATGCACACCCCTGTAGGGAAGCTGCAGATGCAAGTGACCCCTATGGGTTTTACAAATGCGGTAGCAGAGGCGCAGAGAAGGATGCCCGCCGTCGCAGGGGATATGTTTCCAGAAAAGTGTGAGCCACATATAAATGATAATCCCGTAAAAGGCGCAAGGTACAAGGACGAGACAGAGGTCGAACCGGGCGTACAAAAGTTTGTCTGGGACCACCTGCAGGATATTAGGGACCTACTCCAGCGATTCCTCGTTTACAATATTACTGCAAGCGGACCCAAGAGCATCCGGGCCGTTCCGGAAGTTACCATACTGGGATTTCGTTGCGGAGCATATGGGAGGAGACCCGACCCAGCAAAGACGGATAAGATCTCCCAGTGGCCGACACCCCTACGCACCACGATGGAAGTACGAGCCTTCCTAGGGGTGGTCGGGTTCTGGAGGATCTTCATCAAAGGATTCGCAAAGATAGCAGAGCCTATCCGCGCAATGATTACCCTGAAAGACATCCTGTCATCCGATCAGGTCACTCTAGCAGCACCCTGTTTCAACGACGAGGTAGTTCATCTTAGAAACAAACGGGGGACCGCTGGCAGTTGGAGAAGTATTGATCCAGAGAAGCGAGGAGGGCAGGGAAAGGTCCAGAGAAGCGAGGAGGGCAGGGAAAGGCTAATCAGATTTGAAAGTAGGACCCTGAATTCGGCAGAACGGCGGTACTCACAGTTCAAGAAGGAGGTCTTAGCGATTCTGCATTGTCTTAAGACCTTTCCGGCATACCTGTTCGGAAGGCGATTTATCCTAAGGATTGATCCCACCAACGTTGTCGGAGCCCTAAAGAACTACAAACCCATAGACCCGACTGTTGGCAGGTGGATAGGCTTCATATGGCAATTCGACTATAAGGTCGAGCGGATTGCGGGGCTTCGAAATAGGGCAGATGGGTTGAGCAGGGTATGCATCACGCCCGAAGGAGTAGAGGACGCGGAACCAATCAGCGCTTTCCTAGAGTATGAAGGAGGGACCCTCGTGGTGGATAATGAGATGGCAGATCCAGCAATTACAACAGGTCAGTTGTTGATTCAGACCTTGGAAAAAGGCGCGCCTCCAGTAGTTGCAGTACTCAGGGAAGGACCAGTCACCACGGTCAGGCACAAAGAGGAAAAGGACTCGTGGGGAGCAGAAGTAGGGGCCAGAGAGGAACTGATGGCAATGACCGTGGAAGGGGGACGGGATGCCGAGATGACATTCGCCGAAACCTGGGCGCAGAAGGAGTGTCCGTATCTAGTCAACCTCACTCGGGAGGAGCAGAGTGCGGATCACAATGAACAGGAATTCTTTCTCATACAAATGTATGAGGGCGTTTTCAAAGAAATCGGTTTGCTGCTTGTAGGGAACAAACAACCCACAAAAATCAGTCTCAAGGCAAGGGAGGAAGTAGAAAAGTACGTCATAAGAAATGGCCACCTGTTCAAGAGAGAGGAAGGGATAATGCCTAGACGCGTCGTTTGTGGGAGGTCTAGGCAGCTGGACATAATTCAGGCAATGCATGATGGACTAGTTGGGGGTCACCGGTCGTCAAAAGGGACACTTGCAAAGATTGTGCCCCTGTATTTCTAGCCAGGAATGGCAGGCATGGTCGCAACGTACTGTCAGACGTGTCTGATATGTCAAGATCGGAGCTCTGCACGGGTTTTCGAGCCCCTTAGACCCNAGCCAGGAATGGCAGGCATGGTCGCAACGTACTGTCAGACGTGTCTGATATGTCAAGATCGGAGCTCTGCACGGGTTTTCGAGCCCCTTAGACCCACCCGGGTACTGGGACCCGGACACCTTGTTCACCTCGACCTTGCCGTTATGCCCGTATCAACGGATGGGTTTAGATACATCTTGGATGCAAGGGATAATCTCAGTGGCTATGTAGAAGCCACAACCCTCAAGAAAAAGACGAGGAAAGCAGTGGTCGACTGGGTGCAAGATTTCTACCTAAGGCACCCCTTCGTGCGCAGGTTTATAGCAGACAATGGGATAGAGTTCGTTAACCAGGAAGTGTTGAACAGGCTTAAGACACTGTGTGTACCGATCAAGATCACCGAGCCCTACTATTCTGAGGCAAATGCACCAGTAGAAAGGGGTCACCGGACTTTGAAGAACACAATCGCAAAGTTGGCAGCAGATAATTTGGGAAGTTGGCCACGGTTTCTCAAGCAGGCAGTTTTCGCCGAGAACATGACTTCAAAAAGAACAACGGGATGTATTCCAGCAGAACTCTGGTATGGAAGGGAGATCGATTTTCCGATAGAAGCTTTGGTCCCTACCTGGAACAGGCTAGACGACGACCCACACTTGAGCACGGAAGAGTTAATTACCGCACGTTGCCAGCAGGTTGCCAGAAATGAGGAGGCACTTGAGGAAGTAGTCAATCGTGTGACGGACAGCCAAATGAGGGATAAAGCAAGATGGGACCAGGTTAAGAACATTCGGAAGGAGCCATCCATGTGGGGGAAAAGGTGCTAGTTAGGAACTCCGCCCTTGAAAGCACATGGTCTGGACAACTGGGAAAAAGATTCAAAGGGCCTTACAGGATCGCTAAGCGGGTGGGACTGAACACATTTGAACTTGAGGATCTCGATGGTACTAGCATAAGAAGGTCATTTCCGGGACAGAGATTGGTCAGATTTCTGAGCAGGGATCCGGTGGAACAGTGGCTACAAGAGACCCAGGACAGGGAAACTGCGGAACTGACAGCCTGAAAGACAGGCAGCTCGCTATAAGTTCTAGACCGCCTCCCTGTGGAAGTGATCATGACCACAGGGATTGTTCGTTTGTGTGTCTTGACTTTTGTGGAATGTGGGGAGACTGCCTGGGCTGATTGTGACTGGGCCTGGGAGCACGGGACAGTGTATTATACTTTTTGTGAGGTAACGCTGGGAGTTGTCTACGCGAGGTACTTATAGGCTGGGACAATGTACCATAGTTTTTTGGAGGGGGGGGTGATGCCGTGGATTGCCTACATGGGGCACCTATGGGTTGGGACTATGTGTCGAGGGTTCTAAGGGATAATGGGGCTACCAACTATATAGGGGCAAGCAAGAGTCTTAGGGAAACCTCCAAAGCCGCAAATGGGAGTGGAAGGGAACACGTGTGTATGAGGGGTTGTGGTGATTATTATGCATGAACAGGACCAGGCAAGGAGCAAACAGCAACCGGCAAAATGGAATTCGGAAATGAAAATGACAACAACGCTATCAATAGGCCTACTGAGGGGCAGTCATCGAGGCAGGCTGGGGAATCAAGCTCCAGGAAGAGGAAGTTATATGTGGGGTTTGACCATAACCTGGTGCTAAACAGAGGGGGCAGGAAACAAGGAACCAGAGGGCCATCACCACTGAAGGAAGGAGAGCCAATAGAGCTGCCGTCAGAGAGTGATCCTAGCAGCAACGAAGAAGGGAACCCAGAGGAGGGACAACGGCCGAGGGAGAATGAGCCAGTTGAGTTCATCGACCTCACCAGCGACGAGGAGGAGGACGAAGTAACAACGCCCACAAGAGAAGAACGGGGAAGAGGGGAGCAGTCGGGAAAGAAAAAGGATAAATGGATAAAAGAGTTCGGGTATGAGTTCAGGGATTGGTTCGATCAATGGGGCACTATCTTGCGATACCAGTGGATCATGAAGGCAAGGGAAAATCTGGGCAGGGGAGAGGATCTAGCCCCAACAACCTTCTTCACGGAACAGACACTCCTCCAGTTTCAAAGAACAAAGAGGCAAATGGAGCAGGAAGGGGAGAATCGCGCAAGGAGAAAGGCTCAACGCAGGCCACCTGGACATTAGGGGAATAGCAGGCGCAATGGGGGGGGGGTAACTAGAAATTGGGAAGGGTTGGTACCTGGGCAGGGACAACTGCCATTTTGAATTTCGCATTTGAACTCTGCCAAATGGACTGAAATGAGGCAACTTTTGACTAAAGATCGGGCAATGGGTGCTACTTCGTGTAAGTCGTTGCTTTTTCGGAAAAAATACATAAGGATCAGAGCACTTAGATATAGAACTGTGACGGGTTGCGTTGGCTAAGAGTGAGCAAGGGGAAAACAAGGGGGACCTAGATGAGACGAGTCTGTAATGTTATCATCGCATTCCAACTTTGTCTCCTCCTTTTTGGGAAGGACTGCAATGAAACTACTTTTTGGCTTGAGGAAATTAGTGGGGGTTGAGAGCCTTGTGCTACTTTGTATGAGTATTCGCTTCTTTGGGGGGGGGGAATGTGAATTTTTTTTGGAAGTAAGAAACGGACTTTGAGGATGATTGACCTGGCCTCGGGGAAATAGGCAGGGGCATGTGAACTCTTGAACATTGGAAGATGCAATCATAACGAGAGTTTTTCCTTCAAAATTGTGTATCCATGAGTGAATGAGTCGCTCCACGAGTCCTTGTGAGAGGTTAGGGGACTTATGGGTAGAGAGGCACCCTCTCCCCTAGGAGCCTAATCCAACCTACCCCAGGCAATCCCAGAGCATTGAGAAGCATATGAGAAGTCAAAAAAGTGGCAGGGAAACTTTGAAATGATGCAACATCCCTTGCAACGGTTGAATGGTCGGGCGGGCTAGTGCTGCTTGGGGCTGCGAGCCTCAACTTGAGTACTAGACGCTAAGCCGGATGTATGGATGAATGTAAGAATGACAAAAGACATGAGAAAAAGGAAGAAGCATGCGTAAAAACCTAAGACGATGGCCTCCCTCTAACCCCCGAGACGAGATAGGATCCGTGTCCTCGAGGCCGACCCCCTCGGGCGCTAACATTGTGATGGACAAGGATGATCCTAACCAGGCTGTCCGATTGCAATGGATAAGAATGGCCTAACCGGGCTGTTCGACTTGGAAATGGAAAGAACGACCCTAACCAGGTTGTTCGGATTAACCCCTGACAAGGGTCATTCTTTGGAATTGGCACTGGGGTCCCCTTGCATGGTTGCTTGTGACGCATGGAATTGGAAGAACTGAGCTTTGGAAAAGAGATTGGAAGAACTCAGCCTTGGAAGGGATATTGGATTGATCATTGGAATTGGATTGAGCCTTGGAATTGGGTTGAGCATGGGAACGAGATTGAGTATGGGAATGAGACGGAGCATTGGAATTGGATTGAGAATTGGAAATTACATTGCATAAACAGGGGACCCTAGGGAACTTGAAATGGACTTGGAGAGAGCACTGAAATGGAATTTATCTTGTCTTCTAATCTATGGCCTCAGCAAGAGGGGGATACCGGTGCATGCACCGCGACCCCAAGACCTCTATCCCTTTGAGGGAAAAAGTCTCAGCGCGACTTGCTCCTTTTCGAAGAGGACGAGGGTTAAAGGACTAAGGCACCTACCACTTGGATCGGTGCGAGACGTCCGGAACCACCTCCGACAATGAGCTCTAGTCGGGGAGTTCCAACTGCACCTCCTGCTGAATGCCTAAACGTCAAAGGGCGAGAGAGCCAAATGGGCAAGAAAGTCATTCTCATCTAGTCTTTTTTGCTACTCTCCAACCACACGCCATGTCGTAGAGGGGTGGCATGGCCGTTTGGGTCGGACCACGGCTGCCCGCGCTAAGTTGGGCGGCATTGTCCAAGGGGAGAGGCTTGGCAGAGTACCAGGTGGAGTTCGCGGCCACCACAGGGCACTGACACTGCCCTGCCGGAGCATTACAACCGCTTCGTGACTAATTGCGAGGTCTTCGTAACTGCACTCGCGGACTAATTGGGAGCCCCAACTCTCTTGAAAACAAGAGGCTGGAATCCATAAAATCACCACTCGGGAGGAACGATTCGCGAGGAACGCTCTTACGGCTAGACGAGGCCCTGGGAGGCTTGGATTGGACCTGCCTGCCAGACGTGGGGAGGAACCTCAGTATTGGTGCTCGCCACGCAAGAGAAAAAAGGTCGGACCGAGTAGAAGGATGAGGCGTCGTCCGCTGGGGAGGAACTGATCACTCTTCCTTTTGTGAAGCGGATGGGCTTGTATCCTTGACTTGCGGTTGGTGGGCCAAAGGTCTCGTACCTCTGAGTGAGGACCAGTCGTGCGATGGGGACATCGCATTTTGAGTGGGGGGAAGGTGTGCCATCTACCAACGAATACGCATGAAAATAAGACTGGTAATTGATTTTGCATAGACTTGGAAAAAAAGTGCCTGTCAAGATGGCCGAAACAGAAAAATATTGTAATTGGCTTTGTATGGGCCTAGGAAAAGGGGGCCTGGCAAGACGCCGGAGCAGAAAGGACTTGAGCAAGTGACATGGTATGAACTTGAGAAGAATGGCTTGGCAAGATAGCCAGGAAGGAAAGGGCTGGTGTGATTGATTCTGCGTAGATCTAGGAAAGGAACTGGCAGACTGAGAGTTGGCTGTGTAATTGGCTCGTATAAGCTTGGAAAGACGAGAAGTGGCAAAGGGGCGAACTAAGCATTGTACGTAAAGAGTCAATTAAGTAAAGGGCAAAAAAGGGCAGAGGATGATATGCATGCGGAATTGGCAGGTCCTGAGAAAGGCCGGGTGGAATGGCCCGGGAAGAATGCATGTGGATTTGGCTACGTCTGAACTTCGGGGAGAGGAAAAATTGTGCTGAAAATGTGCGGATGTCCTAAGAGAAATGAATGAGACGAAACCAAAAATGATTTCTGCTCGAGAATGTTTTCTCGATGAAATGGGAAGATAAATTTGAGATTACGAATGCAGCCTTCAAGACATTGTCCAGAGCGAGAAATAACGTACAATGAAAAACTAGTTGCAGGGCAGGACGGTGGTTAGACCCCCTCAAGGGGCGATGCTAGTCAACTCGATGAGGGGAAGAGACACTGAGATGCCTAAAACCCTTGATGCGTTGCTAGCTCGCACCTGAAGGAAACCATTGTGGATGATCCTTGTGACACTTGCCGAGGGTGATGGGCTGGTCATCCCCCCTTTTGTGGGACGATGCAGGAGGCTGTTGGGAAACTCTCGAATATTTGGGAGTTCCAGTGAGAAAGAGATACAGCTGTGAGACGGACGTTGATGCACAAAGAGTGTTAAGCGCTCGTTACAAAGACATTATTGAGCTTGGGGATGTCACGCAATCTAAAGGAAACCCGAAACAAAAACCTTGACCCCTCCATACCCTCCCCCCGCCCAAGGGGCGGGAACTTAAAGAAGGACCCGAGAAAAGAGTGAGAAAGACAAAAGGAACCCTGGCAAGCTAACTACTCATCCCACCCCACTCCCCTGCCTTGTTTGTCTATCACTCTCAAATCCCTACTGACCATGGATTGGTGCACGATGAGGACATCGCGAATGAGTGGGGGGAATATGTCGGGACTGGTGAGTCCCGAACGATTTCCCGTCACTCAAGAGATTGTATATGACCAATTTGTGCACGACATAGAAAACCAGAGGTCGGAATGTTGAAAAGATCGAAAGCATGGGAACAAACGGTAGGAAGCTGGAGGCTGCCCAGAATCGTCAGGACCGCCAAACTAGAAAGGAATTGCCTAAGCAGGGAGCAGCAAGGGACTGGGAGAGAATATCAGGATCGACTCCTTTCCCAAGGACGGAGAAGGGCCGCCGAGAAGTCGGTAGTAGCGCAGGGGGTGCGCAACAAACGGAGGAAGGAAAGAAGGAAGGGACAGGGCGCAAGGCGCCGACACGACGCGGCGGCAGGGAGGCCAAGGAGATCGCAGGTTAGGTGGGAACCGGTGTCCGAAGGGGAACAGCGTGTGGGACGCAAGGGGGAATGGGGAGCGAAGATCACCGTAAGGCCGAAGGACGCCAGGAGCACCAAGGGAAGACATGGCACAGGTAGGACAAAGTGCCGGGACCACAAGGAACTAAGAAGAAGTGCGGTGTCGGCGGGACTAGGCGCCAGGGACCACGCGAGACCAAGGGACGGCGTGATATCGGCAGGGCGAAGTACCAGGAACCGTGTAAGACCAAGGGATAGACGAAGCGTGGGCGGACCAAAGCGCCATGAACCACGTGAGACTAGACAGGATGGCGGCGTCAGCAGAACCACTAGTAGGGCGGGTATCGATGGGATAAAGCGTTGGGAGCCGCGGACGAGGGCCGGAGGTCGGAGCCGTCGGCGGGAATAGTTGGCAACTGGCCCGACAGAGGGACGCGCGCGAGCGGGTCGTCACCCGGGGTGACTAGGAGCGGTAAGAAAAGGAGGAGAAGTCCGGAGCTGACGAAAATTGTCAACGAAATGGGGGGGGGGGCGACGGACATGCGACGGGAAAGACGGAGGGCACTTGGGGCGACCCAGGGGGATCCTGGATCCAATGCAACGACAACGATAAAAATAAAATGACATAACGTCAGGACGACGGGACCATCCGGGCCAGGTGTCCGGATGAATATGATGAGTACCGCCACGACAAGCGCCGACAGGGGGTGCCGAGGGGAAAAAGAGGAGGGGATAGTAGTAATGAGGGGGTCGGCCAGCAGTCTGAGTATCCCGGATCGGCCGGGATGAGAAAAACGAAGTTCCGAGGGCTCCACGTGGAAAAAGGGCTGGCCGGAGAAAATCGGAGCAAGGGGGTCCCGAACGGGAAGCGGCGGCAGCAAAAAGGAGCCCCCTTTGACCTTGGGGATGCCGCTACTGCAGTCCGAGGTGCAACGGCCAGGTACCGGCTACAAAAACGGACCTTGGGTGAAGTCCGACAGCCAGAAAGAGGAGAAATAGTTGTTGGACACTTGTCCCTACAACAATAAAAGAAGGAGGGAGACAAAATGGGAGAAAAAGGGGGATATTGAGCCAAAGGAGGAGGAAGGAGTATAGGAAAATGTGCCGCCAGGTTGGGGCTGCAGCAGTAGGGATGGGCAGGTCCCAATGATGACCTCATCCCTCCTAGATCCTAGGAGTGCAGTCCGAATTGCAGAGATAAGGTCCTTGGGGCATTATCTCTGCAATATCTGAATTTAAGC